AGAGGAATTACAGCGTGAAGTAATAAGCTTACATGTTGGTCAAGCTGGTGTTCAAATTGGTAATGCATGCTGGGAGTTATATTGCCTGGAACATGGCATTCAACCAGATGGTATGCTACCTTCTGATGAAAGTTTCGCTACGGAGGATTCCTCTTACAATACTTTTTTCAGCGAAACTCAAACAGGTTAATATCATTGATAAATTTTAAATATTTCATTAAATAAATTTAAATATTTGAATTCTTTTAGAAATGATTACACTGATTTATCTATCTGATAAGATGTAAAAAATCTGATATAAAATAGTCAAAATAATTTTGTCAGGTAAACATGTGCCGCGAGCAATATTCATCGACCTGGAACCTACAGTCGTGGGTAAATTAATTCTCAGCATTTTTTATTGTCATAAATTTTGCTTGAAGTTTACAATTTAGTTCTTTAAATACTATTGTCAATGAGATAAAAAATTCAAAAATTGTGTCGTTTCCACGTTTGATATGATTTTTTTTAGATGAAGTACGTACAGGGACGTATAGAACACTATTTCATCCAGAACAGCTTATTTCTGGGAAGGAAGATGCAGCAAACAATTACGCTAGAGGGCATTACACGATTGGAAAAGAACTTATTGATGTTTGCATGGATCGGATTCGAAGTAATATCAGGATACATCTGAACGATTTACTTACAATAATAATAATAATTAATAATCAACAATTAATAATTAACAATAATAACAACAATAATAATAATAAAAATAATACTATTTAAATCTGCAAATTACTTTCAAAATACTGTTAAGAAAAAAAAACTGCTGCTATATTTTTGATAAGAAAATAAGTATAAGAATCATGACAACATTTTAGTCTGAAAATCTTGAAAAATCTCTTGATGTTATTACTAAACTGACTTGGCTCTTCAAGAATAACAAAGTATGCATATAGAATTAACGGAGAGGTGTCGAGGCTTGCAAGGATTCTTGTTATTTCATTCTTTTGGAGGTGGTACAGGTAGCGGATTTGCATCGTTAATGATGGAACAGTTATCTGATGATTATGGCAAAAAAGCTAAGCTTGAATTTAGTATTTATCCTGCACCTCAAATAAGCACAGGTATGTTCAGATTTGAATATTTATATAATTTTATTTTTGGTACAATAGAATTTTGCTATAAAAGTGAAGTGATATTCACTTCTTCGCAAATAAAATTACTTACTTAAATAATTTTTTGCATAGAAAATTTGGAATAAATAAAACGCAAACGAGATTGTAAATAAGTATTTTAACAAGTAATTACAGTAAGCAAAAAATGCGAATAACTTATTTCAGCCATGGTTGAGCCTTACAACTCAATTTTAACAACACACACAACTTTAGAACATTCTGATTGTTCTTTTTTGGTGGACAATGAAGCTATTTATGATATTTGTCGGAAAAATCTTGATATTAAAAAGTATCATTTGCTAAGCTTAAATTAAGCTTACTCATATTTTGACCATTTCAGTTAGCATGTCAATTTTTCTGTTTGATAGTTTATGTAAGTCTTTTTCTTGCAGTCCAACCTATGCCAATTTGAATCGTCTTATTGCTCAAATCGTCAGTTCAATCACAGCGTCATTACGCTTTGATGGAGCATTGAATGTTGATCTGACAGAATTTCAAACAAATCTGGTACCTTATCCACGAATACATTTTCCACTTGCTACTTATGCACCAATTATTTCTGCGTAAGTTTGTTTACTTTGTTTAAGTGTAAAATACAATAAATCCTTATCTAGCAAACGAGTTGCTAAACAGTTCGTTCATTTTGCAGCGAGAGAGCATTCCACGAGCAATTATCCGTCCTGGAGATTACTAATAAATGTTTTGAACCTGGCAGTCAAATGGTCAAGTGTGATCCACGAAACGGTAAATATATGGCATGCTGTCTACTGTATCGCGGAGATGTGGTACCTAAGGTTGTTTCTGAAAAAAATTTTTTATTTATTTTGTTTTTCTTATGTAGAAGTTGATTTAAAGTAACAAAAAAGTTTTCTTTATTTAAAATTTGAGTTTCTGTTCAACAAGTTGCAAAGGTAATTAATCAAAATCATTGCCAGGAAGAAAATAACGGAAAAGATAGCAACTAGAAACTAAAGCAATAATCATAACACGATTAAACCACTTCTGCGAAAAATTCTACACTAAAAAAAATTTTATTTTAAGGTATAATCATTTTTTTCAAGTGAAGAATTTTCATTTTATCTGCAGGATGTTAATTCAGCTATTGCGATGATCAAAACAAAACGCACTATACAATTTGTTGATTGGGAAGTTTCGTTCTTATATCTATAATCTAAATAATGATTATTTGAATTAAATGATGTCAGAAATGACTTCTTCGAATAAAGAATAAATGACAAAAAGTAGCATTTTGTGTACGTCTGATTTCATTACTAGTTCGCTTCAAAAGTAAATTTTTTTTTACCTCTTTTCACGCTTTAGTTTTTTTCCTCGAATTGTGCTTGTTAAGGTGTCCAACAGGTTTTAAAGTTGGAATTAATTATCAGCCACCAACCACAGTGCCAAACGGAGATACTGCAAAACTTCAGCGTGCTGTGTGCATGCTTTCCAATACTACGGCTATCGCTGAAGCTTGGGCTAGACTAGACCATAAATTTGACTTAATGTACGCTAAACGAGCATTTGTACATTGGTGTGTTATTCATTTTATTAAGCTTTTCAAGACTGATAGTGATCTGAGTGAGATTTTGGGGGAACTAGAAGGAGATCAAATTTTTAAGATCTTAATTACTCACTCCTATTTGATATCAGTTGTGAAACGAAAACCACGTCAACTATTGAACAAAATGACTAGTCATAAAAGTGATGCGAATGATTGAATGTAATCAATCATTTGGAGGAAAATTTAAGGTACGTCGGAGAAGGAATGGAAGAAGGAGAGTTTTCAGAAGCACGCGAAGACATGGCTGCACTTGAAAAAGATTACGAAGAAGTTGGTGTTGATACTTTTGATCCAGTTGAAAATGAATTTTGATGCTTTCTATTCGTTGCTTCGAAGTATATAAGTACTATGACTTTCAATTATAATAAAGAAACAGTTTTAATTTTCACCGATATCAACATGATAGCAACAAAAAAAGCAGAAGTTCAGAAATGTACATAACGAAGAGATTTAGCATATTACCTGACGTAATCTTCAAAAAGACCTGGAAGTGGTCACTCGTATCACTTAATTAAAGCTTGCTGCATCCGTTACAAAGAGCTTAAATATCAAATAAAATCAGCAATGCAGATGGTCACTTGTTATACAAACTGATAACAAGGGCTTTACTTACGTCAGTGGACGTAAGCAATAGTTCGTAATATTTACATATTTCAGACTGAAGAGATTTTTACTAATACACTTTACACTACTGATTAAAGAGTGAATAAGTGAGAGTGTGTGAGAGAATTGATGAAAAAAGTGCGTACGAGAATAAAAGAAAAAGAAAGAAAGCTAGTAAATAAGATAGTTGCATATGTTAGGATGTGAAAAAGTGTGAAGAGAAAAGGTAGAGAGAGAGAGATATAGAGATAAACGACAAGGCAGCACTCTATGGTTGCCGTGCAGAACACAGGTCTCTTTGACCTCCAATGAGACAAAGGATGAGCAAGCAGCAAGCTATTCAGCTATCATTGAATGCATTACAAATATGTCCGTGATGACGTGACACTCGTGATTGCTCTTACGTAAAAAACAAATATTTAAAATTAAAACAAATATTTATAAATAAAAAAAACTAGCACTAGAATTAAAATGTATTTCACTACGAGATGTATCAAGTTTTCGATTATAAGCCATCCTAATTATACGATATTTTAAAAAATTTTAAACCATACAAGCTAGAAATTAAAAGCCGAATTTAAAATTAATAAATAGTAAAACTTTTGATTGAATTTTGACACTGGTATTTTGCTGATAAGTTCAAGTTTTCTAGATGTAAAAACTAAAATTGGCTTTTAAGTCAATCATAAAACGAAGGCACATCGGTAATTCGACAGAGAAACTGCCTTAAACATTTAATAATAATGGTTTTAAAATTATTCGGTACGATGCATGAAAACGTTATTTTGGTTCAAGTGAATAGTTTTTCTAATATTTATTTAAAATTATTATTTCTGTTTACGTCATTAACCGGAGCTAAAATACTGAGTGCAGCGTCGTAAATAGAATGAAGAAAAATAATACTATGAATGAAGGAAAATAATATTATGAATGAAGGGAATAATATTATTAATAAAGAAAATAATATTATGAGCTTCTTTGTACAATAGCTACAAAAAAGTAATTCATAGCATAAGCTTTATGGCCGTATCCTTCAGTTATACAATAATAATACATTAATACAAAATAATAAAGTACTTTTGATTCCTCGACCTATATATACTGGCTGACTTTCAGTGGTTTCTAAAATAGTTAGCAAAATACATGGCTGTGCATAACAGTTTCCATCATATATATATATATATAT